AACAAAGTTCCGGGCCAAACTTTTGCCAGCAAACTTCAAATTCATGATCAGCAACCCAAAAAACATGGGTATAGAGAAAATCAAAACTATAGCAAAACTTTCCTCTAAACCCCCTTTATTTTCCTAATATGCTTAGCCTATAGGTAGGTCTTATTACAATAAAAAAATTTAGAAATGCTTTCCTGACAATCCCTTGTTTTTTCAATTCTCATTAATATGCAATTTTCTATTTGAATTCTTTTATTATTTCTTTTTATTGTATACTAATAATATAAAGGTCTTTCTTCGAGAAATGACACATCTACATTGTTTCTACACCTATTATGAATAATTTTTTTGTAAATTAACTTGTTCTTCTCATTTTATTTTTGCGGTTGAGTTGAAAACCAGCTTTCTGCTGATACTCCATTGCAGATAGGTATATAAGGGTTGAGAAACTATCGTTGTTTGATTTTTATTTGTGCAATTATTTTCCTGCAAATGATGAATAAAGACGATTTATTATTATTATCATTATATAGCTATGGGGAAGTAGTTTTTTTCTCTCGTCATCTACCATTTTCGTTCATTTTATGAACTATTGTGTTACACGAACATTTTGATTGCTGACAAGTGTTTCGAAGAATTAAGTCGAAAAACTGTAGAAGTTACTTCTCAAGTCTCCAACTGGTTTCATGAGAACTCTCTACTATTAATCATCACTAAAATAAATTACATCCTCTTTAGACACAGCAGAAACTCACAGATTCTTCCAGAAAACATAAATTTGAATAATAGTGCTATTTCATATGCCAACTCTGCGAAATTTCTTGGCGTTACCATTGATAAACATATGGGATGGGTAGACCATGTATCACTGCTCTGTGGTAGACTCAGTAAGGCCAGTTATGCTCTGAAAGCACTTAGGACAGTTGTAGATCACGATGCTCTCAAGGCAGCTTACTTTGGACATTTCTATTCAATCATGTGTTATGGTATACTCTTTTGGGGTGGTTCACATAATCAAGAAGTATTTGTGATTCAAAAACGGTCGATTCGTATTCTGGCTAACTTGAAAACTTAAGAATCTTGTCGTGGCTATTTCAAAAGACTCAATCTTTTGACATCGCCTGGTGCATATATCCTTGAATGTGTCAATTTTGTATACAAAAACAAACATATATTCAATGATCCCTTACATAATCATTCTCACAATATGAGACGGAAAGAAACATTTTCATTTCCACTACATAAGTCATCCCTTTTTGAGAAATGTTGTTATTATCAGTGCTTAAGGTTCTATAATATGCTCCCGAACGATATCAAACAAATCAAAACCTTCACTAGTTTCAAAAAAACCATAAAATCGATATTAGTCACAATAGAACCTTATGAAATGGAGGATATCAATGAAGCAATTATATCCCTTTGTCACAATAAGGGAAGATAAGGAAAGTATGTATATCTCTCAGAGGCTTCTTGATTTTTATAATTATTTGTATTCTACTATATGTATTTGACTTGAATTAAACATAATGTAATGTTCTGTCCCTAATGACTCAGAGTTTCTATCTCTTTGTGATATAAATAATAGTGTTTTCTTTGTGTATCCTTAATTCTTTGAACTTCAACTCATCATGGAATTTTTGTTTAGAAACTTGACAGAAATATGAATGTTGCCAGAAACACGAAAAATGCCTTGCGTTAAGATAACAAATGAATAACTTTGTCGCCCATGTTATACACATATTGTTTTTATGTGTCTGTTGTGTATACATTATACTTGGCGCACTAGGAATTATGATTATTATGAATGTGTTCGTTGTCTCGCCGCAAAACTCCAACTTCGAAACTGTCATTTAAATTCCGGGCGTTAGAAGTTTCTAATGAAATGGCCCTTCCTACAGCTCTTTGGTATGGTGGAAACGAACATGAAAGAATAAGGTGTATCAGGTCTGAATGAGAATTAATTTGCCCGAAAATGACAAGAATATCAAATAGCTGGATAATATTATAATCGATTTCGAGTCGACGCCAAAGGGGAGCAAACTTTGCTCTGCGACACGTTTCTGTATGTAAATCTTCTTATAAATACGTGAATTTACTGAAAATTTTCGGGTTTCTGAAAGTCAATTATTAAGGAGCAGACATCAGAGAAGATCACATTATACGAAAGGCGAGCAAACAAGTGGTTCGATAAAAATGTATTCAGGGTTATCGTGATTTAGTGTTTGAAGCCAGCAGCCACTGGTATTTTCGTTATTATAGGCGTTTTCAATTTCTTGAATATAATCATCTCCCAAATACCTTTGAATTTCATATTTTTCAAGGATTTTTTGGTAGATTTCTGGATTTGAATCATCAATAACGTCACAGTAATTTTCAAACGGATGGAAATTTCGTAAATAGGGGCAGACCATAGCACAGAGTTGCCATGTGTTGAAATACAATTGGAAACTTCAGATATACATCAATTATTCAAACATTCATACATTCGCAATTATGTATTGGTAATATTTCTATTTACCGAAACAAAATCAATTGTCTCAAGATATTTCCTTATGATTCGTGTCTTATTGCTTATAATACACTTGTGTAAAAAAGTATTGTATCAATTCACACTAGAGGACATTTCAAGCGATGAACGTGAAAACACGCTTGACTTGTGGACGTGGTCTTGTCCCTTCTCAGCATTCAGCACAATGTTGCCAGGTCTCCATCATTTATATGATATTTTTTCATGGGGTATAAGAAATATTTGGACATGCTGCTTGCTCGAGAAAATCAAGAATGAACTATGATATCATGGGTTCCTCACATTATGTTTTATTCAACGACAGGACTCTCACATATTTTTGATAACTCGATTATAATTGGTGACTTGACGACCTTGCTTCGTGGGAATGGAAGATCATTTGACCAACAACAAAACAGCATTAAAGCTGACGTCGTCATTTATTCGACGTATCGCCAGATGGTGGACGTTTGAAATGAGCTCCGAAATTCAACAATTCCGAACTCAGCCTGTATTTTCTCTAGAGAGGCGGAACTCAGTATGCCCGATATTGTAATGTCTGGCACCACCATCCCCACCATCCCCACCAAACCCACCATATCTATGCTCGGTATTTCCATCAGCAGCACTCTTTCATGGGATAATCATGTCAGATCCATCGCAAAAGCTGCTTCAGAAAAACTCGTATTCTTGTTCCGTGCGAAAAGCTACTACAAAGCGCAGATACGGCCATTTCTAGAATACTGTTCCCACATATGGGGTTCAGCACCAAAACATACGCTGATGCTCTTAGATTCCATCCAGAGAAGGGCCATTCGCCTGGTGGGTGACACCACACTCACTCACTCTTTGACATCATTGGAACACCGTTGAAACTCCTTCATCCATAGAACGGCTAGGCTCTGGAATTCATTGCCTGAGGAAGTATTCCCAACAGCACATAATCTCCAGAAGTTGAAAAAAAAATTCAATACCTACTTCCGGTCCCTATCCTTCCTAGGAACGCACGATGTTCTTTGAACATTATAGGAATTTCCTTTCGTGCGCTCCAAGCGATAAAAAAATCGAGTCCCTAACGACACAATGGAGTAATTGAATGCCAATAATTCATTATAAGTCCATTCGCCTATTGAAGATACACAATTGGTTGAATTTGTTCGCATCTTTTGGATCACTTCGTGCGTACCTAGGAGAAATATAAATCGAAAGTGAGTGTCAAGATTTTCCAGAGATTTTGGAGGTTATTACCTCTTGCACGAAAAAAAAATCATCTGGTTATCACCAGGCAGAGCAGGACATCTTGTTACAATAACCATTTTTCATTCTGACTATATCCAGAATATTGTAATGATTACAATTACACAGTAACAGAGCAATTCTGGTTGTGCCAATGTCGACCAGAATACGATCAAAATAGTTGTTTATCGTGTGTCAATATACTCCTTCAGTCAAATAAGCCCAGGGAATTTAGTAAATTGATGTATTTCATCTAAAATGAAAATATATGTTTGTCTTCTTCCTGTCATTTTATATTCATTGTATATTCACACATTCACATATTCATTAAATTGTCATTTCGATGAGAATTTGGTTTCTTTTATTCTCTTGGAGCGCACGAAAGGAAATTCCTATTATGTTCGTAGAACATCGGGCGTACCTAGAGAGGATAATGATAGGAGGTAGGTTTTTGACTTTTTCCTGGAATTTTGGAATGAGTTCTCGAGAACACTTCCATTGCCAAAAAATTCCAAAGCTTTGCCGTTCTATAGACGAACGAGTATTGGTAGAGTGCTATTACATCTTTTGACGTCAACGACGGAAGGATGTGCTGACTGGGTCTGTCGAGTTCGTCTGACTGATATTTTATGATGATGAGATTATAACAGAGATTCCTGAAGAACATTTTCCGTAGAAGTATATTATGGAAAAGTCGCCGACTTCTGGTTGTCGTGGTTCGGAAAGCTAGGTTCTGTTTTGTCACTGTAAAACTTAGAGCTGACTTTTCTTGCTGTCAAGTGACAAAATCAAAGCGGCTTATAATATTTTTCATACATGAGTTAAATGGCCAATGGAGTGGCACGGAATTCCTACCTGCGACACCTTTTTGTGTTGCTATCGTGATATAAGTAAATAATGAATCATATTCCTTGAGGTCTGACCACTATATATCTGTTTCTGAAAAATGTGCCTTATATATGTATTGTGAGTTTGTCTACTTCGAGCCCTGGTTATTACATGAATGAATAGGCCTGTTCGTTTGTATTTCTGAACTTGCTCAAGTTGATTTTTTCCCAAAGTTGTCTCTGTTCATGACATGATGTGAACATAGAAATCCATAGAAAAAATCAAGTTCAGCAGGTTGGACAAGCAAAAACGAATAGGCCTTATGAGAAACAGTCAATGTATATATGTCGATTTCAAAAACCAAATGATATATTCCAAATACCTTGCTGACTTCCATCCAAGGTTGAAGTACTCCCGATTCCGATTCAAACACTTTTTACGTGGCAGAAAAATAAGAATACATTCAGTCAAAAAAATTTATTCACATAAAATATTTTTCACAAAATATAAATATTCACTCTATGGAATGGAGCAAAATTCATTCTAGATAAGTAACACTGAAGCAGTCCATTAATACGTCATCTAACCGTGGATACCAGCAAGTCCAAGACCACCATGGCCTAGACCAAGACCTCCAAGACCAAGTATACCGACACCAATTCCAACTCCATTGGGTCCAGTGGGTCCAACAGCTCCAGCTCCAGTTACGATTCCTACAAGAAAATAAATTTTTCATCCGGTGGCTAGCAAAATGTCTAATTTGAAGAAGACAACATTCTCAGAGGAGAACAAAATAAAGAAGGACTGAAAACAGTTGTGGAAGGATATGATTTGACCGACGGAAATGTATAGCAGCGAGACATGAACAAAAAATTATAGAACTCATTTGGATGTAATGGAAATGAGACATGGCGGATTCAGGGGAATGGCCATAGGAATTATGCACCCCTTCCTCCTTGATTCTTCATACAGGGTGGACACTTTGTCAATAGGATTACATTGGTAATTTCCAATTCAGATATCCTGAGAGCGGTTGAATGGAGAAAAAAGTTGCGGTGAAAACTAATCGAAAATACCACGGCTGGTAGTTCTGGAAATAAATGAAGGCTAAATAAAAAGCCGAAATAATGGTCATATCTCAAGAATCGGCCTGATATTTTCGTTCAGTTTCACCGCTAGATGATGATTGATACGCAACTTTTTTCCATTTAATCGACCTCCGAACTAGTATGATCTGAAAGTTACCAATACAATCCCATTGTAACCCAAGTGGTCATCCCGTATAGCATGAAAGTCCATCCTGAATCCTGAGACAAGGCAACATAAGATTTCATACCCATCTCCACTTGTTACTGAATGTCGGATACTGAGATGAGATATTCTATATTTAGAACCTACTACTTATCTTTTATAACTCACTGAATATATTTTCTATTTTTCGATGGATGGAAAAAGTACTATTCGTCGTAAATAAAAATTTCTAACGGCTGGGCGTCATGTTGAATATTGACGGTAAAAATATTCCTGTGGAACTATTCTTAATAGACGACATTTTACGATCATCCAATCAGGTTACCGATGGAAAATATCTCAACAGTAATACGAAACTTTCACAGAGTTTCCAAGTTTGAAAAACTTCAACTAATGATTACATACTTTTCTATAAACAATCTCAAACTGGGAAATTTTGCAAAACAAGACATACTAATTCACCTCCATCTCCAGGCACTTCAACTTCTATCATTCTAACAAAAATTAATTTTTATATAAAATATGTTTTATGTTCTAACTTTGCTGTTACCTTTTTTCCACTTCCACGCGAATTCCTGACTTACGTCAATTTCATAGTCATAGTCTTATAATACTTATTTTTACATCAAAGTAGTGAAGAATATCAGTAATATTACCCAGGGATGAAGATTATAATAATAATAATGATAATTATAACTCGTCTTTATTCTTCCATAAAATTATAAAAGTGATATAGAGGGAATGGCGAAGTGTCAACCAAGGTTGTTTATCAAAGATTATATCCCGAGGCATCAGCCGAGGGGTAGGTCATCCCGTGGTAATGGTATTCTTCAATACTAAGATGTATATTAAATTTTTTGCACCATTAGCAATATATTTCAATCACTATAGTTCTGCGAGACTGAAATATGGACATATATGGACCTACTGTCACTATAAAAGCACTTCTTTTCAATTCTAATCGAATTCTTGTAGCCACCATGATAGCATATGAAAAATCATTATTCATAAATACCTATACTAGATTCGAGTGCCATTCCTGCGAATCTCACATAAGAACAGTGGATTCGAATTAATTATCTCAGAGGTGGCTATGTCTTTATTGACTTGTGGTTCATATAACGAAAACTACCTTGGTAGTAAAAACAGACTTTACGCCTTGAGAAGAAGTAAACAATGGTAGGTTCTATACAGGGTAATGCAAATTTCATGGTACACTATTGTTAACTCAGAAACGGAGAGAGATGCGAACTACGTTAAATTACGAAAAAAATGCACAATTTCATGACCATTTCAAATATCAAAAAAAATCGAGGACATCCATCTTATTTCCTGAAATATCCTGAAAAAACTGAAAATAGTCGATTTTTATTATAATCAATAATTTTTGAACTGTTTTTACTAGAGTTTTGAAATTTGGTACACTTCCTGAAGGTCGCATGGCAAATTCAACGGTGATATGAAAAAAATTCTAGGCACACTAGATTCGAAGATATTGAAGCAAATTTTGATTTTTCTAATGGTCGCCATATTGGATTTTTGCACCATCCGATAGATCAAAAAATTACCAATTCATCGATGTATCACACTTCCATGTTTGATGATGGAATGACGAAAATACAGGAAAAATATAAAATTAATAATTAAGTTAACGTATAAGATCTGCTATCAAGCTTACAATTTTAGAAATTTTCATTAAACGTAAAAATAATAATATTGAACTCAATTTCTGAGGTGCTCGAAGTGACCCCCTCCATTTTCAAGACAAAGTGCAGCTCGACTGCAAATGTCATTTGCTGCTCTCCGTATGGTTGCTTCCGGTATTGAATTAATTGTTTGTACAATTTGTTTTCGTAAATCTGCAGCGTCTCCTATTGTTCTGGCATGAACTGTATTTTTTCAAATATCCCCATAGGTAATAGTCTAACGGATTTAGATCCGGAGATCTAGCGGGCCAGCGTACTGGACCGTTAGTGCCAATCCACTTCCGTGGAAACATTTGATGCAATGTCTGGGTAACCAATGCTGCATTGTGAGCAGGAGCACCGTCTTGCTGAAACCACATTTGGTGGATCTGATTAATGGGAAATCCATCCAATGAGGGTTCAACACTATCTCTCAACAGGTTCCTATAGTTTTCTCCGTTCAGGCGATCTTCAAGAAAAAATGGACCCAGAATTCGACCATTGAAGATGCCACACCAGACATTAACCGAGAATCTTATTTGATGACGTGATTCTTTCTTGAGCTTTGGATTCTCTGTGGACCAATAATGCTCATTGTGACGATTGAAAAGGCCATTATTTGTAAAAAGGCACTCATCTGACCACAGCACTTTCAATGGAAAATTTACATCATTGTTCACCCTATTCTGTAACCATTCACAAAAAAAGGATCGCCTGGCAAAATCTTCTCGACTGATTCCTTGTACTACATGATAATGATACGGGTGGAATTTTTGCTTTTTGAGTATTCTACTAGCTGTAGATTGATGGACATTACACTGCCTTGCAATAGCATAAGTTGATATGTTTGTATTAATGTGCACTTGTGCTAGGATATTTATAACGTTAAGATTCAACCCTCTTCTCATTCCATACCTAGGTGAATCAGAAAGTTATTTATGGAAGAATACAAAAATGTTAATACATATCTCACCTTGAACGCCTTGTTGCAAAAGTTCCATCTAGTCTGATCTTCTGTGCAATCCTTTGGAAATAATTTCGCGAAGGCTGAATCCGTTCAGGGTATAAATTTTCATACATTTCACTAGCTCGCGTCGAATTTCGAAAGCAGCGAATGTAAACATCATACATATCACTCCTTTCTTCAATGCTGTAAACATTCACCATCTCAATTTGGTTTCAGTAGAGATGTGAACAATTATAATTTTCAAATTCTCAGAACTGAAAACTGGACATTGTGACAGCCGCCTCCTTGACATTGATGAACTGGCTGGCACGTGTCGAATCCCGTAAACAGCGATGTACAGGATGTTTCTTAAGTATGTGTAGAAAATTCAGGAGCAGATTGTGATACGAAGCTCAAGAAAGAATCATGCCATCAAAATATTATCGGTTAATAGGTGATACGGCATCTCCAATAAAGGAATTATGGGTCCATTTTTTCTTGAAGATTGCCTGGACAGAAAAAACTATGAGTTTATTTTCAACCGAAATCACCAAATGTGGTTTTAACAAGATGGCGCTCCTGCCCACAATGCTGCATTTGGTTTCCCAGATGTTGCGTCAAATGTTGAACAAAGATGGATTGGTCCAGACGGTCCTGAGCGCTGGCTTGGCCTGCTAGATCTCCGGACCTGAATCCATTGAACTAGATCCTATGAAGATATTTGAAAAATACAGCTTATTGCAGAACAATCAGAGACGCTGCAGATTTACGAGAACAAGTCGTATAAACAATCGATTCAGTACAAGAGGCAACCATACGGAGAGCAACAAATTACATTATTTGCAGTCGAGTATCACGTCGAGCACCTCAGATATTGAGTTTCATATTATTTTCTTGACTTTCAGTGAGAATATCTGGAATAGTAAGCCTAATAGCAGATCTTACGTTAACTTGATTATTGATTTTCTATTTTTCCTGTATTTTCGTCATTCCATCATCAAACATGGAAGTGTGATATATCGATGAATTGGTAATTTTTTGATCTATCGGATGGTGCAAAAATCCAATATGGCGACCATTAGAAAAATCAAAATTTGCTTCAATATCTTCGAATCTAGTGTGCCTAGAATTTTTTTCATATCACCGTTGAATTCGCCATGCGACCTTCAGTAAGTGTACCAAATTTCAAAACTCTAGTAGAAACAGTTCAAAAGTTATTGATTATAATAAAAATCGACTATTTTCAGTTTTTTCAGGATATTTCAGGAAATAAGAGGGATGTCCTCGATTTTTTTTGATATTTGAAATGGTCATGAAATTGTGCATTTTTTTCGTAATTTAACGTAGTTCGCATCTCTCTCCGTTTCCGAGTTAACAATAGTGTACCATGAAATTTGCATCACCCTGTAGAGCTGGAGTGATGAAAAAAAAACTTTTTCTTGTAGGAATGTTCTCAAAAATGCTGCTGTCGATGGAATATCGATAGTCCGAAATATGTTCAGATAATCCTGCTGTGAACTTATAAAAAAATTGTGGAGATGGCCTTAAAGTGTACCTCAAACTATTCTTACGTCAATATGTATTTTATGATCTCAATGAATTCTTTGCAACAACTTTCCTATAAAAAAAAAATAACAATAAAAAAAAATTATATTCAGAAAATAAAACTCACCGACTCTGCACCTAACTTTTGTCTGTCACCAACACAACTTCAATTTTAATATCAAATCTTTGTTATACACCAGTCAGCTGTTTCCCTACGCCTAAGGCAAGATATACATATTTTATGTGAATTTATAACTGTCATTATCATTAGTATTAAGAAGAAAATTGTATCATCTTATTGGGAAATAAATCTAATCTAATCTAATCTAATCTTATTTCTGAAATTAATTCACTTCGCTTTTAGAAAATATGGACTCCTGAAAATTGTTCAATGAATATAAATTTACGATTTTGTTGTGTATAAAAAATGATTGTTTGTTATGTTGGGTGAAGAAGGAGAGTAGAGTCAGGTCTCACGTGACCTTCCTTTCCATTCAATAATGTCTTTCAACAAGGCACACAGTCGCTATTCGCAGAGAGATAATTTCAACTTATGCTAGAATATAGATATCAGATATCAGATGAGCAAGACATTTTCAGGATGAAAAAAAAGAGGGGGTTTTGAAAGAAAATGCTCTATATGCATCTGGATTTGCTGAGGCAAGTGGCTATAACTTGCTATAACTCTGCAAATAGAATGAATAGGTATATCAAAAAGGAGTACAAAAACATCGGAGATGGTTTGGGAATGATTGTGAAGACGTGTGTGCTAAGTGTAGAAAAACATACTGAGAAATATAGGTTGGGGAAACAGTATAAGGAGACCAGAACAAGAAATTACAGCATCAAACAGGAAGCTGATGAAAGTATCAAATCATGAGACGAAGTAAATTGGGTTTGAGACAAAAATTTAATATTTACATCATAGCCAATTTCAATGTATGCCTCGGTAGTCTGGGGCCACACAGCTGAATCTCATATCATCAGATTACAAACATTGCAAAACAAAATCGCGAGAATGGTGACAGGATCTCCTTGGTATGTTCGGAATAACCAGATTGCCAGGGAACTGAAACTCCCTCCAATCGTGTTCGTCATTAGGGAACGAAACATCAAAACTTTCGAAAAAGCTTCATGAGAATCAGCTTCTCGGAAATGCAGTTGATTATGACCCAGGTGATCAAAGTTCAAAAGACCGAGATTTTCCATAAACTAGAGAAGATTATTACGAAATTATAATCGAAATCATTAATTCAATATTCTCATAATTTCCAAATCGTGCTTCTTCCATCGCACCGAAAGTTTATAAACATTTGGAACACGTTTTGGCATTGACTCATTAACAACCTAAACGACTGAGTAATCTCCAACAGCAACATACCAAGAATTACCTAAACAATAACAGTACTTGAGATTTCAGATAAATATAGATTTGGGGATATTCCAGGAGGCAGTTGATGATCGGTATATGAATAGTTGCTGTCGTTGGTGCAAACAGTCGATTTGTACACTCGGTTATCACGTTAATCAGTTTAGTTAGGTCTCTGTGCGTTCTACTCGACCACCCTCTCCGAAAATGGTTCTATCTATAGTGTAAGTACTATTCAACCATTTTATAAATTGTATGTCGTATCTATAATGATTCTTCTTCTATACGATGATAATCTAATAAATGTATCTATGTTTTGGCTATGGTTTCTACTATTTCTCATACCCCTTAACTATTAGTGTCTTGGGTTAATATAATCTACCCTATCTGAGCTACCCTCATAAATGATCCAGTGGTCTTATCCTATCAGGAAGCCAGGGATCGTGACAATATCGAAATTATAATCAAATTTACTATTCTCAAGTTTTTGATATTTATTCATTCCCTTCGATCTTTTTCTTCTCAGAATGTATTTTTGGAACTTATTTGAGGCTGTTCGCATCAAACTCCAATACCGTGTTCATTTTGTTTCATATTAGATATCAGGATAAGAGGGACCCTACCCTGGTCTGAATCAAATGAAAGAAAGATCCAATAAAATGAAAAACAAAAGTGAACAGAACAATCGCCACATGAAGGACAATTGACATTCCAACTGCTTACTGTTCGTTCTACGGTTTACTTACCAGAAGGTCCAGCAGCTCCAGCTCCGGTAACTACACCAGATGGACCAGCAGCTCCGGCTCCGGTGACTATTCCAGAGGGTCCTACGGGGCTGAGGGCCCATGGGTTGACACCTACCAATCCATGGCCACCCAAGCCAAGACCACCCCAGCCAAGGCCTCCCAATCCTACGACTGACGCGCTAGTGGCGCTGATGGCCAAAGCGGCGAAGAGAGTTACGAACTGGAAACAAATGATAATGACAATTTAGTTTATGTATAAAATGATTCTGTCATTATGACAGCGAAAAAAGTGTGCTCTAACTTTTCTAGCGACAAAAACGGAACCTAACTTTTGGAAGCATGACAACCAGCCATAAACAAATGTTTGATGAATTAAATTGTCTTACCGAATTACACTCTAGCTTTTTTTTTAGTCGAAGTAAACTTAGCATTCATAATTGGAATTTTGTTGCCTGACGATTTCATTGTTTTTAGATTGCGTTTCCTAATAGGATAACGAATGCAAAAACTGAATACTATCGAAAAGTTCTGGAAATGAGCATTTCAATGTTTACAGAGGGTACATCTGAAATTCGAGAGTTGTAGTGATGAATGATGGGTTACTTGAAGGCGAAAAATCAAAACGAATTGAATAAATATATTTCTCCGAAAATGAATTATTTCAGGAACGTCTCCAAGCGCTCGTTTTGCAATGTTGCCAGATGTTCGATAGTTGGGAGCGTCAATTTTCTGGAAATTTTTGATATAATTATTGTGTGCGATTTTTGGTGTCTCTATGTGTCTACAACACGCTATTTCAATTACCTTTCCGATTTAGAATATACTCTGTATTATTATATCGTTGTAATTCTTCAAATTTCGTATATAGGTAATTTTCTAATATTAATGAACAGTTTATCCGAAGGAAATCTTTCAGGAAGATTTCATCTCTTCGAAACAACAAGTTTGCGACTTTGAATTGAAATCTGGAACCGATTTCCAAAAAATTATTCAAAAACAAATTTCATCTGATATATTTACAGCGTTATGACTTGATAAAAAATAAGAACAAAAATTTGATTATGATATGATGAAATCTTCAGCAAAATACTTGAATTTGAGTGAAACACCTGTGATCTGTGGGAATATTCTTGATATTTCATAAAATAGTGTATTCTTGAATTCCTAGGAGATGAAAAACTTAATACATATATTGTTCTTGGGATATAATATTTGATCATCTGAATTTCATCTTCTTTCTGAAATAACTCCAAATATTCCCAGACAGACAATTCGAATGTGAATGAAAAATACGAAAATGAGTTTCAATATAAAAATGTTTGAATAATAAATCGTAATAAGACAATAATGAATAATATTGGATGATGAAATATCTTACAATGCAGTTCATGGTGGTGTAGGTTGAAGCTGGATACAACTACTGTTCCTACCCAGTTTCACATTCCTTTATATAGGTAACTAGGTAGGTATAGCCAAATGACCTTTCTTGCGATATATGAGGAAACGCCTTTTCTCAAATAGTGCAATTGCATCATAAAATAATTTATCACATTTTATAACAGTAGGTACATTGCGCATATTTCAAAATAATTGATGAATGTTACTGGCAGGCCCAGGAGATCCTATTACCCTCTATTCCACGTGACTATACATAGGTAAATAGTGAACGATACTAAAAGTATTTGATACCAGAATAAAGTCTTCAAACGGTACTGCTCTGAAATTCGTTGGACATTTTACTATTCGCGAAAATCACGAACCAATAGATGACTCTATTAAACGTCAAATCAACGTCAAAATTCAAATCACTACATTGCCGTATGCACCCATTACAAATTGGTTATTTCGAAATCATGCAAAATAGTGAATAATAAGTTGACTTCTTGAAATGCGTACAAGGTTTCCAGTGTGTAAAAAATTACTTTTTGTGCAGAGAAATTGCCATTTTGATGTAGGCAATGATGGTATTCATCATTGATATCACACTACAATTCCACAGTTTTCAAACATATGAAATGGTCAGAATGATCCACTTGCATGGACTGGAATGGAGCGATATAAGCAAACAGCTATTACAACGATATGGTAGAGGTATGAAGAAATAATTGAATTCATCAAGAAATATCACTGGCTTTTATGAAGGAGATGGGATTCTAGTGAAGGGGTTGGAAAAGAAGATATGGTTGGGGAGGCTGCTCAGAAATAACAATATCATCGATTTACATAAACAAAGATCTCCAGCAATTTAGGACTTGAAGTTATTCTCAAGATCGAATCATTGCAACCAACATTTACACAATGATTCTTATTGTGCTTCGGAAAATGTATATCATATTATTATAAGGTAGGTACTGGTTTCTTCATTGTAAACAATAAAAGTTCATGCATCAGTTCGAGTTTTTTTATCAGGGAAAAATGAGGTTCTGGAATATGCACTTCAACAAATGAATTATTCTCAAATGGAACATATAATTATGAAACTCAAAACAATGGTCGCCATATTTGTTGTCATTGTTGTTCATACTCGCAAGACTCATCCAGTTAGCCACCAGAGGCCGCACACTTCGTGATTTTCGCGAATTATAAGTGAGGATTGAAGACATGTTATACCGATCAAGTCAACCCACAGGAAAATGGGTATTTCGCATTTTCTTCGGAGAAAATCGATATATCTCGTTCCGAGTACGCCACTGACCATATTTTGACATCTTGATGAAGGAAATCAAATATCAAACATTCGTTTTTTCCTTGCTCTTGGTATGGTGCCTCTCTATACTAATCATCGATGATGAAAAAATTATCAGCATGCTCTGCAGATTTCAAAATGTACATCTGTATGTTGATGAGATATTGACCACTATGATCATGTGATGAGGGTGAACCTTCTGAGGATGGCATTAATTGAAAAAGACATCGCGGATAGGACTGTCCAATCTGAATCAACATGAAATATCCAGAAGTAACCAAGTCATTTTCACAGTTCGATCTCGTTCTCTGGAATATGAGTGGAATAGGTAATTCGAAACACTCGCAAATTCTCAAAAAATCTTTATGTGTCATATCTCAATGCTTTTGAACACCAAAATACGGTCTATTTTCAGTCCGTTGTGAGAACGCTGTACATCAAAATAGTACACATTCTTTTATTTGGATCAAATGTGCCACTCTGTTTAACAAGCGTTTGCGAGTCAAACAGAGTCACTTTTGATTCGAATGAAACATGCTATTATTTCTGCAATCGAAATAATTGCCATGAATGCCAGTGTCAAAGCAGCTATCATATCAGCTGTCATAAGACAAACTTTTAGTTCCTTGTAGTTAAACTTGAGTTTCAGCTCCTAGACACTGAAAGTTCATCTAGCAACATACATACTAATGATTTTTCCTGCAATCGACTCAAAAGTCATCCATTTTTGTTCCAAAGTTCTTGCAATTGACGTTTCTCTTACTTATACAAAGAAATGATGAGTATATATGTTGCTAGGCAACACTCTCAGTGTCTAGGAGCTAAAGTTGAAGTTAAACTCCTAGGAACTAAAAACGTGTCCGATGACAACTGATATGATAGCTGTTTTGACTCTGGCATCTTCTAGTGATAGAAAATAGTGATAACTTCACTTATATTTGATTAATTGGATATCAATCATTTCGATTGCAGAGAAAATTGCATATTTTATTTGGATCAGAAGTGACGCTGGTCAAACAAAGTGTCACATATGATCCTAATAATAGTAGATTGTTTTATTAGGATCAAAAGTGACACTTTGTTTGACAAGCGAATTTTGCATTTGCGAGGCGGAGCGTTTAGCGAAGCCGAGCGAAAGCAAAATTTGCGAGTCGAACAAAGTCACTTTTGATCCGAATGAAACATGCTATTTTTTCTGCAACCGAAACAATGAACTCAAATGAACATGTGAAGTAACCACCAATGCCGTGCCATATGTATGCAATGCAACAAATATTGACAAATAATCCATGTAGTGAGAATATTCTACCTGCATTAACAGCAGGTTTGGTTTTCTAGGATGTTCGAATTGTAGTTTCAATATAAATACACCACAGAGTGACATATTTGTGTATGGACCAGGTGCTCTAATGGCAATAAATACCGCGCCAGTGCCAGCTATAGGAACAAGACGTGGAAAATGTTAGGTTAGTGAACATATCAACAATGATAATAGTGATTATTTATTCCTCTCCATACTACACTGTGTTTGACTTGATAATCTAATGAAGCTAAACAACATCGTTGTTTGAGACAAAAAACCGATTGCTTGCCGTGATTATTCAAAAACAAGTTATCCACCCCGAGAATAACGAATGAAATACAGATCAAGCAAGTATTTGAATCTTGAAGGCTTCCCTGATCAAAACAAAAAAAAAATAACTGAGATGTTTATAATTCCAATACCAAACAATTATAATAAGGTGTATTTATATCTCCAGCATGGGTATGAAATGCCAAATCTGCTGAAATCGGAAACAAATCAGGTATGCGTCTCAACCCAAATAACCAACCATCACAATATTGTTAATACTCGATGACGTCCAGTACATTCTTTTCAGTTCCTAGGAGCTAAAGTTCAACTTTAGCTCCTAGGAACTAAAATTCAACTTTAGCTCCTAGGAACTAAATATGTTGCCTAGCAACATACCTATTTTTGTGTCAGTAATAGAAACGTCAATTTAAGAGCTAATCTTGGTATCAAAATGGACGACTTTTGTGTCGGTTGCAGAAAAAACAATATACTGATATTGTGTCAGTAAGAGAAACGTCAACTTCGAGAGCTAATTTCGGAACAAAATCATCATCGAATTCTGGTTTGTTTCGATACTTTCACAGCTGTTTGTCATATGTATGTTAACTTTTCACCGTATGAAATGGATAATCGTTTATTTTGATGATACTCTCATATAATAATCAGAATTTAGTGTTTTCTATATCGTAACTATAAAGTTTTCTAGAATCGAATAAGTCGAATAATTTCAACACTCACTTAGTAATTAAAATTAATGTACAGTGTCATGAAGAAACTATTAGTTAGATGGAAGTTTAACGGTTGTAACACCATACGAGCGCACTTAAAGTTGTTAACACTTTTCATTACTGACTGAAGTTTTTAATCGACCTGTTTTCAGTTACCATTTGAATATTAGTTCAGTCAATGAACGGGTTGTAGGGGTAGGGCTCATGAAAGAGGACAGCTTTTTTGAGACTAGAGGGATGTGTTCGAAGAAGATAGGATGTAAAAAATCTCGGAACTAACAAGGTGAGCCAATTGCAGGGATCGAAGTAGAATATCCCCTTTTAAGAATATCTCAGGAATAGTAAGTCAGCAAAAAGTCAATTTCATCAAAATTGTAGCTGATAAAATTGTCTACGAAATTGTGTCAGTAGGTCTATCTTTCATTGCTTTCGAGAAATTCGCTGGCAAATTCTATTATTCATTGCAATTGGATTGAAAATAAGATCATTTCAATATTACTTAGGCAGAAACTGAATATTTATACAATATTCTATATATAATAATATTCTGCAGTCATGTTTTTCGAGTCTTCTTTGGAAAACAAACCCATCAAGTATCCACTTTTCGCATTAATTATACATAATTTTGACAGAAAATCGAACTGAAATTCAACGAAATTGAGAAGAATTCTACTGTCTGCCCATAAGGCTTACGTCACTATCATTATACATGAGTATTTCGTTATTCAAAGAAGACTCGAACAAAATAATTGCAAAATCATATGCATCAGGGCTATCCACGGCACACTTGATAAATGTGAATAAAAAAATGATAATATGGAGTATCTTCCTAAGTATGTCGTCATTTTCAATCCAATTGCAAATAAATTAGTATCGTTAGATTCGTCAAGATATCCTTATATCCTTTCAAAATGTTCATGTCAAAAAATAGTCGCCATTTGCAAAATAATAGTAAGACACGGAAATGTAATATTGTTCTTATCTCATTTGTATACTATACAGGGTGTTCCATAAGTCATGGATCAAAGGAAGTGGGGTTACCTAACCGTATATGTGGTTAACCAATTGTTGAAGGTTGGAAAGTTATAAATTTTTGTTCATTTCTACAAAAAATATGGATTACTTCAAAACTATGTCACATTTTTTATTTTTTCTTCCACAATACACATGGATGCACCTTTGCCCAGAGATAATTTTATGACATATGTTACTTCTTATCAGTTATACCTGAGAAAAATATTGTTTTCCTTAAGTTTTCCCATTGAATGGAATATTGAGGTTGATTTTTAAATGTCGCAGACATATTTAAAACTACCTCACAAAGATAAACAATCATAAGAAAAAGTTGTCCATTCAGTACAGATTCCAAAATGTTATAACATATGGAGTTATTCAAATCGATCTTTTTGTTATTTTTCTCTTCAAGAGGGTCGCGTT